AAGAGCCATCAATATAGAGGACCCATGGTTGATTATTATAGTGAACTGCGATGGCCAGGGTAAACTCAGCGATAAAGTCAGATAAGGCTTGAGCCTTGATTGCGGTTCTCGGTTGATAGTGGATATCGAATTGTCCGAGCTCAATGGCCCATTTAACCATGCGTCCCGAGGTGTCAGGTCGGTGCAAGATCTGCCGAAGTGGATACGAAGTGCGAACAGTTATAGAATGCTCTTGGAAGTATGGTCGTAATTTCCGGGCTGCAATCACAAGGGCAAATGCCAACTTCTCCATCGGAGCATAACGTATTTCGGCATCGTGCAAGGCTTTGCTGACGTAATAGACGGGTGATTGCAGCAACCCCTCTTCGCGTATCAAAACAGCGCTAATGGCAGATTCACTAACTCCGAGGTATAAGAACAACATTTCCTCGGGTTTCGGCTTTTTCAAAGTCGGGGGAGAGATCAGCGTCTCCTTGATATTGTCAAGAGCTTTTTGGCATTCCTCAGTCCATTCAAAACGTTTCCCTTTCTTGATTGCTTCAAAAAAAGGCTTACAACGATCTGTAGACTTGGAGATGAACCGGTTGAGTGCAGCAAGTCGGCCAGTTAGGGCCTGAACACCCTTGACCGAGGTTGGGGGAGTTAGATCCTGAATGGCTTTTATTTTGGTTGGATTGGCTTCGATCCCACGCTGGCTAACCATATAGCCCAGAAACTTTCCGGATTCAACTCCAAAAGTGCATTTCTTAGGGTTCAGCACCATGGAGTAAGATCGGAGGATGGCGAACATGTCTCGAAGATGCGCTATATGATCGAAGGCGTGCACAGACTTGACTAGCATGTCATCAACATAAACTTCCATAGTGTGTCCGATCAATGTTGCGAACATTTTGTTGACAAGACGTTGATATGTGGCTCCGGCGTTCTTTAATCCGAACGGCATCATAGTGTAACAATACAAACCTCTGGCCGAATAGAATGAAGTGTGTTCAGAGTCCTCGGGGTCCATAGGAATCTGGTTGTAGCCGGAGTAAGCGTCCATAAAACTCATCAACTCATGTCCCGGCGTGGCATCAACCATATAATCTATATGGGGAAGTGGATAACTGTCTTTTGGGCACGCCTTGTTGAGGTCGGAAAAATCAATACACAATATCCACAACCCGTTGCTCTTCTTAACAAGAACAGGATTTGAGACCCACGTCGGGTAT